ATATATGAATGACCAGTCATTTACTTTTGGTATTTTTTGAAAAGTGAGATGAAAGGAGAAGATTGAAAAAAAGAGGCATCAGATTTGAAATTTTTCTGCTCCTTCTGAGTTTCCAAGGTGTTAACTCTTAATCTTTTTTCCTTACCGAAATATATTTTCTCACTTTAATCGATCTGAGTCTTTCGTCATTTCATCTTCATTAACATATTGTTGTCATCAAAATTGTCAGGTTGCATATGTTTCCCACTTTAATGTCGCATAGTTTTGCCGTTGTTGTTGGGTTTTAGATAATTTAGACCTGAAAATAATAGGTGCTAGCTTTTCGCCCAAACAATAATATCATTTGAATTTGTGTAAGCAAAAGATTTTGAAGAAAATATGTTTGTCCTGATTGAGTTTTGCTGATACAATAAATTTTTACGGAATCCCGATTGAAGCAATCATTCTGAATCTGTGATCAATGTGTACTGTCAATTGCCAGCATGTGTTGCCTTAAATATCTGATGTAAAAATTTGTGAAGAAGAAGAAGAAATTGATTTATGTGCTCAGTATACTTGCCTATTTTACAATTTTGTATGTACTGTTTCAAAATTGTTACGGGTTCTTTTCCATTCCTTTTTGAATAATATTTCATCGTTTAGAAATGAATTCTAAACATTTTGAGTGACTCAATTGTTTTCATTACTTTTTTTTTTTCAAATGTTTTGTATATTCCATTGTACCTCATCAATTCAACCAATTATTTTTGATTCATATTAAAGTATTTTTCCATCGAATTTTCAATACAACCTCAAATTTGTCTTCTGCATTTACCCATTATCTTCATATCACACTCCTTATCACTTTACATTTCAATACAATCTTGCATATTACAGTTCTTGGTCGAATAGTTCAGTTCAGTTCAATTAACATACTCTCCAATCATCATTATAGCTCTACAACATTTCGATAGTCCTAGAATGCTTGTATCAAAAAGGAGTGGAATAGCGACCGAAACTTCTCGACCTTTCAACCTTCATACATTTGGAAGATCCCCTCATTGCTTGGATAAATCTTATTGCTTTCGAATCAATTAACCTTACCTTGACGTAACATTCTTGACTTACCGTAATTACAGCAAGTGTTGGATATTGTAATATTACAATAAATAAATACTTTATTTCTTTCTACACGTTTTATGGAAATAAAAAATGCGAATATACGAAATATATTATTTATGCATATGGTACAGTTGATAGCAATTGTCGTACATTTGCTGTTAGCGTTGTGCTTCGTGCTGTTAATAGTTTCATATTGTCACCATCTTTTGTTTGCATCTCTTCCATACTTTGTAATACCTCCAGAAGTGATTTAAGCATCTGTAAAAAACTTTTTATTCCACCTAACCTACCGTAACTTTTTGTATTTTTTATCAAATCATTTCGAAATTAATGGAATAACTTAAGCATATTTCCACTTAAAAGAAGAACAACTGGAAAGATTCGTCATTACTTATTAAATAATTAGGACCATATCACTGCTAGATTACCCTGTTAAGGATGGTATGGCAAATGGAGAACTTTTCGATCTCTCAACCTTCATACATTTGAAAGATTTTCACATTGCTTTTGCAAATGCCAGATCACTTTTCCCGTATTAAAGATCGTTGAGTCCTAATGAATTCAATTGAATTTATTAATTTC